TATAAAAATTTGAAAGTATTAAATTAAATTAAACTGTAATTATAATTTATTATAAATGTAACAGTGTGAAGGATTAATTTCAAAATTGTAATAAATAAAATGTTATGAGATTAATATAATAATTTTTAATCTTAAAAATATGAAGGTTTAATCAATAATATATTATATTGCTAGCTTTAAATTAATTTTGAAATTTGTGACACATGAACAGCGGTAGGTATTTCAAACTTTAAATAAACACGTTTTAAGTAAATTGACAAGTATTTGTTATAACGTGTGCAACTTTTACCATTTTTTATTTTTTTCCTCACTAGGTTACCTACATAAAATATTAAATAGATATTGGGTATTTTTAATTTGACTACTAGGGCCCTAGGGACCTCAAAATAGATTTACCGCGTTCATCTGAAAATTTAAATCCGGCCCCGGAACGGACTGAGATAAATTAATTATTAAAACTTACTTTATAGTGACTTAATAAATTTCCCGTCGAATTTGAATGAGCAAAAATTGTTTTTGAGCATTGTTGACACGACACAACCATTTTCAACTCATTGACTGAAACGATTTTATAGTACTTCCCATCCAATAAGTAATTTTGTGTTTCGTCAATTACAGTTTTTTCGTTAGATCGGTTGGACGGTCCTGGATCGCCAAGGCTGTCATCTGCTATATCATCGTGATTATCAATATCCTCATGGGTTCTTTTACCGCGAGGGTGTGAACAAATAAATTTATCCATCTTTAAGCTACGTCGATTGCCACGGTCAACACGTAGTCGACAACTGTAGTATAACAAATGTTATGTATATCTTTATGATTAAATTACTTCGTCGGTTATCAACGCACTGTTTTGATTTTTATAAGTGGTTATTCAGTAGGATATTGTGATTTCATTAGTATATTTATATTTTGTGTAGCTATTTTTAGTGGGTATTAATTATATTTTTCCCCGAATAAAGGTCCCCACACACTGCAGCGGTAACGGTAGCGGTGGCGGTAGCGGTAGCGGTAGCGATATAATGGGGACCTTGTATTGTAATGTAAGTGCCCACACCGGAGCGAAAATCGCCGGCGATAACGCAGCGGTAAAATACCGCTGCGGGAAATTGCTGCATGCTACAATTTTACCGCTACCGCGGAACGATATAGGTATATTGTATACCTATAATATTGTAGATATAAATATATTATATCATAAATTATTGTATAATATTTGTTATTTCTGACAAAACTAATTTGATTATAATATGAGCTAACTAATAGTAGCGAGAGATCTATGTAGTAATATCTAGTGCAAATAATGTGTAAACCTTTTTAAATTCAAAGAAATGTTCGTTTAGCTTTATATTCGTATACTATAATGAGTATAATATCGTATCTTGTATATTATAAATTACATTTTAATTTATGTTTAGTAGGTACTTTATCTAATATTTCCAGAAATTCTACACAACATGTAGGTATAACTTAGGTACATTTAATTAAGGACTTTTGATAATTTCATAATACACGTACAAGGAACTGAACTACTGAAATAATTTATTCTTAAAAGTTGGTATTTATTATGTTAGAATACGTTCCTACACCATTTCATTCGCCATTCGCTGTTGTGCTGTCGCAGTGTCATTTAAACTCGACCTTACCTTACCTTAATATTACCTTAATAAGTTATCATGACGATGAATCTTTCTAAAAAAGAAGATATCGAGAAATTAATTCTCGTTGTGCAAAAATATCCTCTTATGTATGATATGACGTCGACAGAATACAAAGATATAAGGAAGAAGGATTATACCTGGGATAACATCATAAGTCTAGAAATGAACGGAGTAAAAGGTAAGTACATTATTTAAATGTATATAATATTAATATAGTAATAATTTACTAATAATTGCATTAAATAATAATTGTGTATTATCAAAAGTATTATCGTATATGAACATAATATGAGTAATATTTGTTTACAAATATTGAAAACAAGTATACGAGTGTTCAACTGCATAATATTCTGCAATAGTATAGGATAATAATAATTAGAAAATTCAGGGGACAACTGTGTTTGTAAAGTTATGAATTAAAAAAATTTACAAAATGTTCACGAATCTGTATAGATTCATTCGTTCCTCTTCGATTAGTGTTTTCAAATTCATGTAAGGCCCCTCGTTGAGTTATTTCTTCTTCGTTTGAATCCAAAGTGTAATCAATATCACAATTTTTTATGCGCAAGTAATTATGTAAAATACATGTTGTTAATATTATTAGCTTTGTAGTTTGTTCTTTTAGTTCGATCGCACTTTTATAAACTCGCCATTTTTTTGTTAAGATACCAAATGCGTTCTCAACTACCCGCCTTGCTCTGCACAGTCTATAATTATATGTATCTAGTCTAATGTCATTTCTTGATAATCGGTGTGGAAATGGTTTCATCAAATAACTTTTTAAAGCAAAAGCTTCATCTCCGATAAGAACCATTGGGGTATTTTCCTCTTGACCAGGTAATGGTGTACTTTTTGGAACGTTTAAATTCCCGGCTTCCAGCCGTTTACCCATTACAGACTCTTCTAATATGCCTCCATCAGAATTTCGTCCGTAACCTCCAACATCAATACAAATAAATTTGTAATCTGGATCTACAATCGCCATCAAAACAACTGAACATTTTTTAAGATAACAAAAATTTCTAGATCCACTATTATCCGGACATTTGATGGTAACGTGTTTCCCATCAACACTACCGATACAATTTGGGAATTGCCATTTCTCGTAGAAACCGTGAGCCGAAGCTTCCCAAATTGCTGTAGTAGGCTCAGGCATAAACATTGGTCCCATTATCTTGATTATAGCTTCACATACTTCTACAATTATTTTACTAACTGTTGAAAAACCAACACGAAAGCTGTGTCCAATAGTTGACAGGGAATCACCAGTTGATAAATATCTTAAAATTAAAATATTCTATAATTAATACAAATAAGTTGTTTAAATGATAAATTTACTTAATAGATTTCATATTATTTTAATAACCTATATTTTTAAATAAAAATGTCGTTTGTACTAGACACTAGTCTTTGTTATACATTTATATATATAATGATTTATCCTACCAGAGTTGGGCATTATTCGAATTATTCCCAAAAATCAAATAAATAATAAATTTACCTAAATCCTATAAATAACGTTCGTACTAAGGTTTTTTTTAATAATATTTACTATATACTATAATTTTACATGTCAAAATAAGTATTAAATATTATTCATAATTTTAACGACTACAAATATTCAGAATGAAAAATTATAGATTTTGAGCGGAGCGAATATTGATTTTAAAATGATGTGTTTTTTATGTGTGTACACGATAAGTTGTCGAAATAATGCTTCGATTTTCAACTTCAGTAGCTTTTGAGGTTAGAAAGAGAATCTAGTTCGTACACTGGGGATGTGAAATTTAGAAATTCACAGTAGTTTTCAAAAGAACCGGAAAAAACAATAAAAAAAAATTAAGGAAATACGGGGATTTTTACGCAAAATCAATTTTTTGAAAAAATCGATTTTAGATATTGGCGTAACTCTAAAACAAATTACCGTAGACACTTGACATTTTCACTGGATGTTTATATTGGCATTTTCTATACTTGATAACATATTCAAACTATTTTTAAGTTATTTATAGAAATTATAAATTTTCCGTTTTTTTTTTTAAAAATTTTTTATTCTATAAATGTCAATAAGACTGTATTCATTGGATCAAAAAACTTGAGAATTTAATACAAGGTTCTCCATAAGTTGGTAGTAGCAGTTGGTAAATATTAAAATACATAGGCACGTTTTTTTCATAACCATTAGAAGTTCAAAAATATTGAAAAAATTTATTTTATTGAAAATTTACAAATTCTACTCTATATACAGTCTATACACTCATTATTTATTAAATGTTTTAACCTTTTATAAATACTTGTTTTACATATTATTATGGGTAATTTATTACTAATTAATATAAATATACTATATAGTTATTGAGATAGGTACCTATACACTAAAATGTGTTTATTTTATATTTTAACTTTTAAAGGAGAAATTTTAAAAAATAAATGGAAGAACTTGAGGGATTCTTACCAGAAATATTTAAAAGCAAATAGTACAACTACGGGACAGGCTGCAGGTGCTTCTAAAGGAAAGCATTTAGATTGCTATAAAAACTGGACTTGGGCTAAGCATTTAGAATTTTTAAGGCCACATTTTAAATTTGCTGCGTAAGTATTATAATATGTTGAATATGACGTATATACATGTATTCGCATTAATATTTCATATTAAGATAAAAAAATTTATTATACTATAAATATTTTATTTTGTTTTAGTACTTTGTCTAATGTTTTACCTGTAGAGGATAAAGAAATAAATATTTCTAATGAAGATAATGATTCTAATGACAAACAACTAGACGTTAACTGTACCGAAGAGTTGCAATTACCCGAAGCACCTCCAGTAACAGCATTAAAAAGTGAGAAAAATAAACAAGTTCCTGCAGCAGCATCTAACATTGATAAGGTTTTGGAACATTTAAGTAAGAAACAAAAAGTTACTCATAGTGCACTCGATCCAGTTGAGATGTTAATGTTAAGTTACGGTAAAACTATAAAAACATTTTCACCTGTACGTCAAGTCGTCAAGCCATTGCAAAAAAAAAAGTTTCAGAAATCATTTCTGAATTAGAATTTGAGGAAATAGCTGAAAAAGAACAAAATAAACAATATTACGATCATTATCGTTCCGAAAATTACCAGAGAATTTCTTCTCATTCTCAAGACAGGCAAGATCCTGATCCATATTTATATCATGCAGCTCAAGATACCGAACAAGGTGCAATAAATTTATCGGTTGAACAAAATAATTTTGGAGACAAATACACTAATAGTAGTTTTGATAGTAGTTACACACAATTATAATTTTTTTTTTTTTATTATTAATAACTAACAAATATGGGTTAACACCACGATTTAAGATATACAGGTTGAACATCGGCCTATGATATTATGCATTTTTCAAGACCGTCAAACTGAGTCTCCAAATCAGCTGTGGAACTACCGACTGGCGCCATCTAGCTACATTTATGCGGAAACTCAACAATCCAAAACGTACTATGGCAACGGTCGTATGTACTAAATAAGTAACTTCCTACTTAACTTCTAAGTTTATTATTTAATCTTAATACTTTATAGTTTATAGTTTATACCTAATATGATTTTTTTTACAAGTAGGTAGGTATTTATATTTTATTCCGTAACAAGAAATGAGAAATACTTCAGGTAAAAATGTTATGATTATTAACTATCGAGTATTATTATACGACAACAGTCTGTTTTATTCATTTTAAACATTAGTTTATTATGTTTTAACCAATTTTGACAACTTTTTTTTTGTTTTGTTTAATTTCTTATTAGCTTGGTTTTGCATATAACTATATTGCCTCATGTGCATAGTTATGTAGTAGGAAAAAATATTTGTTAGCATATCCGTTTGATGTTGACGAATGGTACATGGAAATTTTAAATTTATATTTTTTTTGAAAAATTCTTCAAATGTTTTTTCAAAAACATCATTTGAATTGGCATGTATGGCAAAGCATTCTTCTATGTGTTTAATTATAATATATAAATTACTATTGGGGTAAGTAAGAAACCCTTTTGTCTTCATATTAATTAAATCGGCTTCTTTACCAATTAAGTTTTCTGAAGTGTTAAGTGTTTTCAACCCTTTTATACACATATCACATTTTGTTCTGTTGACTAAACGTCTTGCTATATACCTATTAAAAAAAATAATCATAATAATAATTAACAATCGTTAAATTATTTATACTTAAGTAAAATTTTCATCAAAAATTAATATAATTTAAGATATATAGGTATATTTAATTACCCAGCTAAAAAATATATAATACAATCAAATACATTAGAATCGGCATAATTATGTTCTAATAAAATATCATCAATGTCCCAACAATCATCCTCAATAATTTGATTTATCTTTTCTTTTAATTTACTTATTTTTTCTATTCTTTCAGGAGTGTTAGCAGGATCATTTTTAATTTCTTTTAGGTCTGATATTGATATGACCGGTATAGATTCTAAAAAGAACAACATGTACACAATTGTTATAAACACCGGTAAGTGGTATTAGATAAATAGCAATATTTCTGTTAAATAAAATATTAACCTTCATTTACTGTACAATTCCCTGTTTTAGGCGGTTTCACAGCAGTGTATACAGATAACATACGGTACAACTGCAGGAAGGTTGGTGCCGTTGGGTGGTCATTTGGACCAGAAACTTGCCTCATTATTCCATAAAACTTCTATTAAGATAAATACAAAAATGAAAGACAGAAATGGTCATAGTTTCGTACTTTGTAATGATGTGTAAGATGCATTAAAATAACAATATAGTAAGTACCTCCAAATTATCCTGGTTAAATTTGGCAGTTAAGACATACTTGAAATCACATTCATATAATAAATACTTCACTAAATCTATTGTAGATTGTATTGTTATTCTGAGTCCTTCATATGTTTGTCGAGTTAAGAAATATTTTTCTTCAATTAATCCTTTGGATACATTAGACTCCCATTCATCTAACCAGACTATGGCTTCACTCAAAACCTAGAGCAAGGTTTATTACTAATTATTTTATTTTATCAAATTAATTAATTTATCCACAAATCTGTTTTCAAATGATTTTACTGTAACCAATTAAAAAACTTTATATTCAATTTTAGGTACTTACCTAATCTAATAAATTAACATTGCATGTATACAGTTTACACACTACTCTAACTCTAATACACTATACATAATATGACATAAATTCATAGCATACATACGTCCTGTTATTTATTACTACACAAAAAACACAAATGTTAACACTAAAAATTGCATTCCACTAAAATATTTAATATAGATTATACATTTACTATTTCTATGACATAGATCTAAATTATATATATATATTTTCACAGGCCTATAACATAAACATTTCACAATTACATGCAACACTAATTAAAACCTTTAAATCTTTATTATCTGGTCTTATTCCTTCTGCTGGATATTTTCGATTGAGTGCATCAAAAATATCATTCATGATGTATGTAAATTTGACCGTTTCCTCAGAATCTTTGAAGCACTCGTAATGTTTTTTTTTATAAAATTCTATGCCTATACCCATAGACCTACTAAAAATCTTAAGTCCAGACAAAAATAAAAATAAATATGAAATATTTTTGATTCATATAAAACTATTTAGATTAAAAATATACATACTTGAACTGCATTTTTAACTTTCATTTTAGAAAAGCTATTTAATTCAAAATGGTGTTTGGTTAATCTAGGACATACTTTAGTTAGGCTATTGCTTTCAATGCTGAATACTTTATAGTAAAATTCCCATTTAATTGGCGGCTTTAAAGGATCAATCTAAAGTGCATAAACAAATTATAGTTATAGTTATAGTGTAATGTAATTGTTTTAATAGATTTACAATAATAATATATTATATATAATCAATTTAATTTGAATCTACCTGAAATTGTTTATTTGTGTGTAAACGATTGCGTACTGTTTTAATAAGATGAGGGGCGTCCGAAAATACAAAAACTTTTCTTGAAGGATCGAAAGGGTTTATAAAATAGTTTTTAAAATCATTTTTCTTATGTGAAACCTATTAAACCATGTTCAATTTTATTAAAAATAAAATAAAATGATGATTAATATTTAATATTGTGTTAATACAATTACCCCTAATGAATTCCACATGGTTCTATTAGTAGAAGCCCCGTCAGAAGTTAATCCAACTACCTCTCCTCCAGAGTCTTCTATTAATAAAATAGCCTTAACAACCAACTTAGCTAGATCAACTCCTGTGAATAATTATAATAATTTTATATTATCTAGGTATTTTTATTCAATAAGAATAATATTATATTATTACCTTTTACAGGTCCATGCGAAGCAAATACTGCTACTGGTTGTGCTACATTTTCTCCTAGACTTTGCCACATAAAGACTAACCTATGGTTTGCCTTCAAGTTGCTTTCTTGTTTGGATTCAATTTCATCTCCACAGTCTTCTAACCCTGTATATGTTAGCGTCCTACTATTCACACTAATACTCTTCCTTAAGAACATTTCATCCAATAAAAGTATGCCTTTTCGTTGAAATTTATTTTTGGTTGAAAATTTCTTTTTTAAAAGTTTGAATAAATTTGGATCAAATCCACAACCGATTTTTATGGCAAGTAAATATTTCCGAACTGTGTTGATGCATGGCAAAGGAAGAATATTATGGTCACGCAAAAATTTATACCCACTTGGTGATCTAAATGAAAGCAAATCATTAAAATATCTACTACAACTCATGATGTACAGCTATACCTTATTTGAAACAACAAACAGAGTAATATCCAGTTTTCAGAATATTTTCTGTTTTTAGGGTTAACAACTTTAGAAGCTTTAAATATCTCAAAAATTAAGTCCTTTTGACTGTTAGGAACATTAGAGTTCTCTAAAATTTGATTTAAATTTTTATCTGATATTTCAACCATTTCGTTTTTAATTGTATTTAAAGCTTCATACATATTATTTATTTTTATAGTTGCTCTTAAATAATTTTTTTTGACAATGTCCTTTGTTTTTTGCATTTTATCAATCTTTTTCTTTTTGTTGGGTGAAAAATATATCCTTGAATTAAGTCTAGCTTTTTTATTTTTAATAATGTACCATAGCCTTTTGCACCATACACAAATTTTACTGTTAACATAATATTTAAATAATTAAAGTGTTAGGACTTTTTACCACTTATTATAGATATAGATAATATTATAAGTTGAAATATCATAAAACAATATTGAAATCACCTTCCATTAATATCATTAATAATTATTTTTGTACAATTGGAATGCCGCCATTGACCATACGATTCAACAAATTGTGGGCCAAAAGTTGATTTAATTTCAGTGTATTTACTGGTTAATATTGAACCATGACACACTTGTAATTTGTTCAACAACCCTATGACATGTTCCAAATCTTCTACACTTTCTGGTTTGTAATCAGAAGACAAACCAATATCTTCAGTATTTATTACCGTACCATATATATGGATGATTAAGGTAGAATCTATTAAACACAAATGTTATAAAATTGTAACTAACTTTAATCATAATTGTAATTATTATTTGTTGGATATAATATGTTAATCATACCTAAAGTCAAAATTATTTGTTTTTCTATGGCTCTTGAGAAGTCATCTCTATAAGGGCCCAAAATGTGAAATCCAATAAAAGTTTCTATATTATTTGATTTATGCCCAATATCAATGTACCATTTTGGTGGCATATTTATCAATTTGTACGAATTTAGTACTAAGTCAAATAATTTTGTAACTGCGAATGCCATTTTTGGTTCCTAAAATAATCATTATGTAGATTTCAGATTTATTAAAGACATAATTTTTTTTGTATTATTAAAATAAAATGTTTATATCTATTAATTACTANCTATTAATTACTATTTGTTTATTATTTTGGTATGGCGTTGTTTTAGTTAAGACTGTTGAAACTTCAGGAAATTTATTTTCCTCACTCGTGTAACCATAGGAGTGATCTAAATGTACATCTTCATTTATCTTTTCGAATATATATAAAAAAAAAAGAACAAGAGATTATACCTTCCTTGTATCTAGAATCTATGTATATTTATTTTAAATTATAGGTACAAACCTTTCTTTTTTTTGGTACAACAGCATAATCTGATTGAAAATCATTATTTTCTTTATTATACAAAGCTTCTCTACCATCTAGCTGTTTATGCAATGTGACAAGACACATTTTTGTTGTAATTATAATTTTATGTTTAAAGTAAAACAGAATAATACATACCATAACATTAGAATTTCGATCAATAGGTATTGCTCCTTCCCGTAATTTAGGCCTTTTGTAACATATCTAAGAGATAATATTTAAAACTACTAAAAAAATTAAGGTGAACTCATAGATCAATATTAATCTATGGTTGAGCCTATCTAAATTATTAAGTAATAGATTAATATTCACTAACCGAAAATTGACTTTGGCCTGAAACCCATGTCTTAATGATGTCATCAGTTTTGAAATGTACCTCACATACTCTATAATTGGATTTCAACTCTATACCAAGAGCATTTTTCCACAAATTAATTGCATTTTTAGGTATACCAAAAGTACTACCATTGCCTATACAATTCGGTACACAACACCGCATGTTAAAATAAGACAAACTTAATTACACTACACTGAATTTATGCAAATAGCATCGATCGTGGGTAACAGACAACAGTTATCAATATTCAGAGTTGAGAACATGAGAATATCATCATATTTCTCTATTGTTTTATATAAATAAAAAATATATTATTATGTAATTTTCAATATCAATTGGTAGTATTTAAAAAGCGCGGTAAAAATAATCAGTGTCTTATATCGGTGTAATACATTTATCGCTAGATGGCGCCAGTCAGTAGTTCCATAGCTGATATAGGTATTCAGTTAGACGGTCTCCTTATCACAATTCGATGTGTAACCAGTATATCTTAAATCGTGCTGTAAACTGATAAATCGAAGTGATAATATTCACTGCCAGTGCCGCCCATGACACCTGCGTATCACAAAGTTGCGATCATACCTAGTTATTTAGCCATGGTATATTTAAAAACTCAAGTTGTGCATTGTTATCGCATGCGCCCGTTAATTTTACCAATATCATTGTATTAAGTATTAACGTTGTATTATTATTATTGTATTTTCCGGACGGCTCTGGCGATCACAATTCACAATATTATATTGTTATCGTAATCTTCGCACAACATTATTCACATATGACTTGTTAAGGTACATATAAAGCATTGATTTTAGAATATATATAATATATTATATTCTAAAATCCTTAGATCATATACTAGTATATGGTTAAAGCTAAAATCAATGCTATAAAGTACTACTGTTGAGTTGAACAACTGTTCTGTTATAATTATTGACATTTAAAAAGAAAATTTCTTAGAACTAAATTAAGTTTTAATTTTAAGTTCTTATAATGCCTGGTAGTACGTGCCAATATTTTAACTGCGGTAAATCCTCCAGTAAATTTCCTAAGTGTAAATATATCGATACTCCTAGGCAAAAACAATTAAAACAAAATATGTTTACCCAACAACATCACATGCGAAATAAAAAAAAAACACATTTCCAAATTGAAAAATAGAATAAATAATTTAAAAAACCGTAACCAATTAAATAATTTAATTTCCTCACATAATTTTCCATCCAATAATTCAAGAGCTATTATTACTATGCAGTTTAGAAATAAACGTCGCCAATGGACCACCGAGGAAAAAAATCTAGCATTAACAATGTTTTATAAATTACCAGCAACATATCATTTCTTAAGATTACAGAACCTTAACCTACTAAGTACTAGGTCCGTCGACAGTTCGAGGTTGGATTAGTCAATTCAAATTTTTACCCGGTTTCGATAAAATATTTCTCGTCCATTTAAAAAAAAAAATTGAGTATAAGGAGTACAAAGAAAAAGCTTGTAGTATTTCTTTCGATGAAATGTCAATAAAAGAATTTTTAGAATATTCTAAAGATTTCGACTTTATAGAAGGTTACAAAGATCTGGGTAGATAGGGAAGGACAAGTTATTACGCAAATAGTTGTTTAGTCTTCATGGCAAGAGGTATATATTCACCCTGGAAAATCCCTATTTCTTATTTCCTTGCTCATTCTTCTGTTAATTATGCACTTCTCAAAAACCTAATTATAAATGTATTGCAAGAACTTTTTGATATTGCTATTTTACCCAAAGTTATAATTTGTGATCAAGGTTCGAATAACCAAAGTGCTCTGAAGTCATTAAATGTTACGGAAAATAAGCCTTATTTTTATGTAAATTAAAATAAAATTATTTCTTTATTTGACACGCCTCATCTTCTTAAAAGTGTAAGAAATAATTTGATCGGAAACACTTTTAAAAAGAATGAAAAAATAATATCTTTTAATGGTGTCATAGCAACTTATAACTTGGACAAAAAAAAATAAAAAAAGTAATACTCTACTTAAAATAACTGAAGCTCATAAACACCCAAACTCGTTTCAAAAAATGAGCGTTAAATTGGCTACTCAAATTTTTAGTCACTCAGTGGCATCTGCTTTACGAACATGTATATCTACAGCCGAATTAAAAAGCAGATTTTATAGATTTTATGAATAATCTATTTGACTGTCTAAAGAGCAGAAATTTATTCAGTGACAATCCATATAATTGTGCATTACCCAATTCAGGCGTACAATTTCTTGTAAATGCAACTAATTATTTCAATGATCTTTACAAAATTATTGTTAAAGGCAAAGTAACTCGCCCACTATACTTTGGCGGATTCACTCAATCTATAAACGGAGTTTTGAGTTTTTTTTGACGATGAAAAGAAAAACAATAATATACAGTTCCTATTTACAAATATATTAAATCAGGATACACTAGAAAACCTTTTTTTCAATTTTTCGACAGAAAGGCGGGTATAATAAAAATCCTACGGCGAGAACAATCAGAACTTCATTTAGAAGCACATGCATGTTTTCCTTAGTAACTTCAATAGGAACTAACAGTGAAATTAGTCAAAACATAAACGATCCTTCTTTAGTACAAGATGTTATTACACCTGACAAAAACATTAATGAAGGGTCAAAATCGTGTTCGGACACAGAATCCTCGTCATCGTCTTCCTCAACAATCAAAATAATATCAGAAAAATGTAACACGAAAAAATTTAATGAAACTATTAAGTTGGAAAATTGTTCTGTGGCATATTTTTCAGGATACCTGGCTAATAAATGTTTAAAAAAATTTAACTGTATCGAATGTAAGATAAATCTAATAATAGAAAAAAGTTTAAATGACAAGAATCAAATACTGTTAATTAATAAAAATTATTCTGATATTCAGGACTCATGGCACCGTCAGAATAATTAAATCACGTAACTAAAAATAATAATACTTTGTCTACATTTGAAACAATATTTGAGAAATGTCAACATAAGAAAAAATTAAGATCGAACTTATTAACAGTTTTAAAAAATTATGAATTAATATTAAATTGGATTGACGAAGAGAATAACAAGTGCACGGATCATTATGTTTTTATTTTAGAAAAATTTTTAGGACTTCAAAAACATTTTCAACTACATCTCATCAAATTAAATTAGCAAAATTAATAATTCTGAGTCATATTTAGTTATAACTAGAGCGCGGATTTCTATGCAATTGCATATTTCGCCAACTCCAGCGAAAAGGGCAGTAACTCACATTTTATCATTTTTCTGATTATTACATATTTTGATAAAGAATATTTTTCTCAATATTCCAACGAAAACGGCAGTATCTTAATTTCACCAAAGAGGTTCTAAATAAGCCGCTGTTATAAACACTAAAAATAGTTTTCCGCAGAAAAAGGCATTATCTTTAGTTAGGTACGTCTGTTTTCGTGGGTAATATGTTATTTAAAATAGAAGTAACTACAGATAATGTTTTATTTATAGTTTGTGATATGAAAATCCAAATAGTAATATTGTTGATAATAGATAATCTTAATTCTTATTTCTTATTATTATTCACAATAAAAATATATTAGTTATTCCTTATTACCGATAATTATTACATTGTTATTGAGTATTGACGCATGTCTTGTGTTAAATATTGTGTGATATATTGTTTTAACTATACTACTGTTTAATCATATTATACTACTATAATATACCTAATAATTATATTATAACTTATAAATCATTATAATAATATTATTATGGCTTCTCATTTGCAACAAACCGTCAAAATCATATTGTGTTAAATGTCTGTTTGGTGATGATGGCAATTGTGATGAGGTAGGTATCCATAAGTTATAATATTATCTTATAAAGTTAACTTATAATGTACTTACTACCTATACTTATAATAAAGTATTAAATGATAAATATATATTTTTTTTTAAAGTTTTTGGGTTCATGTGAAACACAATCAGAAATTTCTGATAGTGTTTTTGACTTCTATGAGTATGGGATAATAACCAGTGACGAAGAGTATCCTATGACATATGACACATTGTGTGTTGACCATACTACATTCAATGTAGGTAACATTTAAAATGCCTTAATACAAATAATAATAGCTTCTTAAACTAATATTTAAATAATTATTTTTATTCCAATTAGGTTTAATATTATTATATTGGTATAAAAAATGTAATAGTTGAGTACCTATAAATTAATATTATTTTTACTGAATATAGGATGAAGATGAT